ATCTACAAATCTGACAGTAAAGTGCAACTGGAACAGACATGAAAGAAAACTAAAACAAAGATAAGCTTGAAAAACACATAATCAGTAAGAAGAGCCAGGCTCGCCAAGGTCTAATTTTAGGGAACTATTTTTGCATACCGCGTAATGCATATGAAGCGCGCGTAGAGATAATCGCAATTTCGCAGGGCAAACTGGTCAGAGAAGGTTCTGTTTAGTGACTTCTGTTCATTTTTTAAATCAATTTCTACATTAAAACTGGCCTTTGAACAGTGAAAAAATAGCTTGCATTTAAAAAAGTAGCTAAAACAACTTTATTCTGGCTCAGTCTGTTTTTTGGAGACCACTACCGATGATCGCCAGTGCAACTAGTTGAACTACCATGCTTTTCTGTGTTTGCATGCTGCAGAAGCTTCAGCCCTATGAGATAAACAAAAAATCACCCATGCTTCAAAAAACTAGTTTACCGAAAACAAAGCCTCCCTCTCCGAGATTATTGTCAAGGCACGCTGAAAATAAGTTTATGTTAAGAACAAGAGACAAACATGGTATAACAACTTACACGATAATTATTTTCACGTTTGTTCACCACTTTCAAAATTTTTTGGTTCTGAAATAAACTTGATTATTCAAATGCAGATATACTAATCTGGTCATCAACCAGAAAATCGCTCTTTATACTATGAGCAGACATTTCCAGTTTCCGCGGGCTATTAAATTCTTCCAGAAGTTTCTAGAGAATTTCTTTATTATTATCAATTAAAACTTCAAGTTTATTTACTCTGAAATCTCCGGTTTTTACTTCTCTACTTCTGTAAAGATCGATTCTTATAAAAGTAACATTTTCTGCACTACTTCTGCTCTATTTTTCTTTCTATTTTGCTGCCTATCTGAATGTTCAAGTCTCTACAAAATACTATATCTGTGCTGAAATGATGACCTTTTTCTAAGGTTATGTTCAGCTTTTGAAATTGAATTTTTTATATCTTTATGAAGCTACTTAGTTCCTCTCTAAAATAAAAACCTTAGTGTTTTTTTTGTAGCTCGCGCTTCGTCTTTCTTAATCATAAAGTAAACTAGATTATAAACAAGAAGGCAAATGACTTTGTGTATTTCCTAAAAACTGTAAAAAACGAAATAGCGCACTCAGTTTTCTGAAGAAAATAAGTGCCATAAAGTTTCAAAACTCCAGTTCTTTTTTATAAAACTGAAAAAGGCAAAAAAAACTTTGCATGATCAGAGCGAAGCAGTTTATTAAATTAACGTAATCTAAGATTTGGCTCTTAAAAATCTATTGATTTTCGCAGTAGCATCCAAACAAAAGAAAACTGCTTTTGCGTTAGAAGTACAAAAGTCAGAAATCAATCTTTCTATGTTATACACGTTTTAATCATTAACTACTTTTTCAAAAATCAGTCAGAAGTAAAAAAGTAAGCAAATTAACTAGAACCGCACTAAAAAGTTTAATTCAATTGCAACAGTGACTATTTTTATGTATTTCAAATAGGCATTTATCGGTTTTTGTTTCGCTGAAGTATTGAGAGTCCCCCAAATGCCGAATTTTTTAAAAAAGTTGAACGTAACAGACTTCAAAGAAGAGTCCGAGAAACGAGTGAGAAACAACAAACCCTCATGCTTCGATGTTTACCCTGCTGAATTTTTCTAGAGAACTGACAACACTTATCACATAGCCATCGTACTCCATAGTAGAAGCTTTTTGGGCTGGGAATCATATTAAAAGGTGGCGGTAAGGTTGCTGTATCGTCGAAATACTCAATCCACAACTTGCTTCGTGCGAATTTCCACTCCGTATCTGCTTGATTCTGAAGTTTAAGACAACTCCTCCTACTGATCCACTCTTGAATTAGGTATCAAAAGTACGTCATCGTTTACGTTTACTGCTGCCCAATAATCTTTTAATTGCCTCTATTAAACTCTCACTAATTCTCACTATCAAAAGCGGTATAGATAATTATTTTTGAAACATTTAACTAATGCTATTGAAATGACATACATATATGTTTTCGTATGAATTGCTCATCATTGCAATCAGCATGTTCAGTAGCACAATGATAGCGCAACAACAGTAGCTTCCAAAAATTGTTCGACCAGTCCACTGAGTAGGTCCGTGACTTTCAACAATATCCAAGTGCTCCAATCCAATAAGACCAAACGACGACCAAAATAATGTTTCCATAGACTTATACAAGCTAAAGAACTTTCAGCGTATTACAGAATCCATAAAGAAAATTTTTTTGACAAATACTGAATCTGGTAAATTTCGACTAGTGAAGCAGTAGCACAGAAAACACTTGCAAATAGACAAAAATGAAATGCAAATTTACCTCGCGCAAGACCGATACTTTGGGTCACAAGACAGTTGAAGCTTTTCCATTTTCTTCTCTAGAACTTGCTCCACCGAAGTTCGAGGTGGGTTTATAATAATGTCTTTAACTTTTTTTAGTATAACAGGATTAGAAGCCATGTCTGAGAGGTTTGCAAGTGCTTCGTAAAAACTAACATTATAGTCGATTAACTTCGTATGTACTTTTTCCAGTACTTCATATTCTTGACATTCCTTAAAAAAAATGCAATTATTCAGTGGCAGAAGAGTGCAGATGATTTTATAGTTAGTTTTTCTTCAATGCAAAACCGATTCAAAGCAAGAAAATCACTGGTTCAAAATCTTCTAAACAAACAGACCTCGAGTCATGATTTTATAGAACGGTGAGGAATTTATGAGCAGTGCAAAAAATAGGAAAATTTTGAACTTTGCCAAAAATTAATACTGTTATTTCAACAGTTCAATCTTATAAATCTACTACTTGTCTTTATTGTGATACGAAATTGAGTTATTTCTTATCAATAGATTTTTTCTTCAAATTTTCTTCTCGTAATCAGTGCTGCTCATTAATTGTGACACCATTAAGTTATTTCCACGATACTGTTTCGATACGTTCAACTTTTCAATATACTTTTATTATAAATATGAAAGAAGATGAAGCCAAATGATATAGACGTTTCTCAGTGTTGCATAAAAAAGAAGATACAGTAGTACAGCTCTTTTTACCAAGGAAGTTTAGTTATGATAAGGTAAGCTCAAAATTGTCAATTCTCGCTGCTTCATTAAATGCCGGTTTTAAAATTGTTTTCAGCAGAATGCAATTGGTGAGGCAGTTCATTTCTAACTAAATTTGCCTATTTCTTCGCAACTTTGAATCTGTAGTGGCTGTGGTCACCTGATCTGGAAAACAAAAGAGGTCACCAAAAGATCTGACAGAAAATTAATCAGTTCTCCCACTAGAATACAACTGTTCAAGTTTTAAGATTTGTGTAGCTTTTTCCACAGCAAAAGCTTCCTTTAAATATGTGCCTTTAAGAGATGCACAGAAAAACAAAACGACTTTAAATTAATAAATAAGTAAAGGACAACTTTTGATTTCATAAAGGGTGCTTCCAACACGAATGTTTCAGTAAATCAGCAACAACTGTAAACTCTTCGGAAGAGACCGAAGAAATGAAAAACCCGATAACTTTTTCCAAAAGAAAATGCGATTTTATGTGAATCCTTTAATTTTACCGAATAGGAACCTCCAGATTGAGATCGCTGCCAAATTAGGCTTAAATCAATACGAGCGAAGTGACCTTGAGATATTTTTTTTCAGCAAATCCAGCTTTATCAAGTGAAATTTGAACATAACACAGGTCAAGATTTCACAATTTAAATAAGGCGCAAAATGCGGCAACTGACACTTCATTATATTTATTTTAAAGAAATATTAATGACAATTTTTGCAATAATTTCCCAAAATTAGTTTTACTGTGAATACGCTGTTAGAAATTGTTTTATATAGGATAGCCCTAGAACCAAAAAAAACCCAAGCTCTTATTTCAATCTAGTAATACCTCGTTATGCAAAAAGTGACAGAGTTTTAAATGCAAAAGAAGTTTTAATTCCGCAAAACCATTGAGGATTTTTACAAGTGAGTGAAATTTGTTTTGGCAAAGAAGATGACCCCCACACCACCTTTCAATTAGTCAACATAAAAGAAAAACGAAAAATCAAATTTTAAAATTGCGCAGTTTGGCATGTCAGAATGACAAACCCGTCAGTTTGTCAGTTATTCCCTGTCAGTTACAAGTGGATGATAAACCCGTCGGTTTCCAGGCTCCAACTCAAACGTGAAATCAAATAGACCTAAAACGTTGCTTCAACGAAAGAAATACAAGCAATTCTAAAGAAACTCAGTACGTACAGCCGATGCATTTTTTAAGTTTTTTCGCTAAGAAATTTTTAAGCAGTGGAGTTTCAAAAAACAAAAAGATTCAACTGCCACGCTTAAAAAGCCGGTAAGCGTACAGGTAGAAGAAAATTTTGTAAGCACAAAAAGTTCGAATAAACAGAAAAATTTTGCTCCAAAAACTGTTTCTTCATTCAAAAAATTTCTAATCGAATTTTTACTTCATTTTTGTACCAAGAGGTTTTATTGTCTGCTTCGGAGAAATAGTAAATATTTTTTTAGCGTTCTGAATTAATAAAATGATTAGCAATTTAAAGAACTTTTTCAGGTGTTTGTCATACATTTAGCAGTTAAGACATTCTTTCAGAAAACTTCTGTTTACTCTCCTTTTTTCTTAAAAGTACTGGGCAAGGATATAAGCATCAGGCACGAATCATAACATGAACCTTGCAAAGGCCACTTCCCACCGATGAGCTACCAAAAACTTCCTCTCAGTAATATTTTACTTTATTTTACAAGATTTTTTTTGTCTCTTCAACCCTTCGTGACACGTACTACGTAGTTATACATTTCATTGAACAGAAAAAATTGTTCATTAAGATCTTCAGAAACATTTTTTTTCCGTAATTAAGTTTTTTTTTTAAAAAAGAAATAATTTTTGATAACTCCATTGAACAATATAAGTCTTTTAATTACATTATAACTACAACAACGTGCTGTGAACTAACAATTAGTAATTAAGAAAAGTAACAACTATTCATATTTTACTAAGTTTTTTTCTTTTGTCCGTCCCTCCTCCCGTCGATATCTTTAATTTCAGTAAGAGGTCTCAACTCCAAATATATTTAGATCTCCTCCCCTCCGCTTCCGCTATATAAGAATCCTAGCAATTTCTATAAACCTACCTGTTGTCTAATTGCTGAATAATACCACATAAGCTGGTTAAGCCCACAAGCAAAAGCAAATAGAACAAGGCAGTACACGAGGAAGAACTTTAAAATATCGATCACCATGCGGCCTAAAAATGACCTATCAAAGCTTCAAAATGTAACCGAGCCAACAAGCTCTCTGAAAGACAGCATATCGTAATTATACTTCCAGAATTTTAAAAAATGAAAGTAAGGTTCTCATCCTTACGGTTTTCTTTTTGTACCTAAAGAAATTTTAAGAGGTCCAAGATGTGGATTCACAGTGAATATATGAATGAGCTTTAATGAAGAAAATATATTTGCCGTCGCAAACAAGCACTCAGATATGAGCGTTGGATCCCATCCATCCCATTTTGCGCGAGGCAGCTCAGCAATGTGACGCATGTAAGGGTTCCGCATTTCAGCTTCAACCTGATTTTCAGACTACGTCAGTTACATTTCGTAAGCCCTTCTTAACAGCAAAAACCGATCCTAATAGAGCTTTCATGATGCAAACGTAAATTCTTACCTGATACCAAGCTACAAACCTCAGTGCAAACGTGCAGAGGTACAAAGAATTTGTGATAAAATCCAAAATGTTCCAGTGATCAAAACAGTAATCATGAAGACCTGCATCCCACAGCTGTTTTATTTCAACCCAAATGAAAGCTAAATAAAATATCATGAGCGTTTAACCTTAAAAGCTCAAAATACCAATTTGAATTACATACCAGATCACCTATAAAACAAACATTTCCTTGAGCAGCATGAAAACTCATAAGCAATTTTGTGGTTTCTTGCAAGATTATTCAAAAAATGACAAATAAAAGCAACAAATCTATTCGATGATAACCACCTAAAACCCATGCTAAAATCGCCCACTCAACCGGCGTGAATGGTGGTCCTCGTCTTTCCTTCCGTTCTGGATCAATTTGACCTCCTAATTGCTCTGACTTACCAAATAAGTAGTTATAGTTAATACGTTGACTAGCAAGAATTAACAAAACTGAAAGAAAAATTATTACAATCCTTTAAATCTTCGAGTTTTCAAAAGCCTTATAGATAGAAGAACCTTTCAAATGCTATAATTAGCTTATACAGAAAGCTTGTACATACAATCTTCCAAATAGCTAGTTCACTTATTGTAGTACCACCTGTCAAATCTAACACGTTATTTCACAATTTATATTCTAAGATTTAAAAGATGAGATAAAAAGCGTTTCAGAAGACCCCCTCTAATTTGACCTCTTGTCAGAAGCAATATAAAGTCAACAATGATTTCATTCTGAATAGTATGTTTCTTGATTTAACAAACAAATAAGACCCATTTGCTCAGTTCGTGATTATTTGCTTCTATTCTTCAACTTCCGCATGAGATAACCCGCGACGTGAACGCACAGTACTACACGCGTTTGCAGTCTTGTTGCTCTATGAGCCGCTAATGCCCTCATATTGAAGGCTGTTTTTTTTTTAAAACAAGGCCTTTGTTCGTGCATCAGAAAATTCCATAATAATCTTTTGATATTAGTATAAATTTAAAGCTTCTATTTTTATCATTTTCCAAAGGCAAACCCAAAATTTTTTCAAGAATTGAGGTCACTTCAAGGTCAGGTTAATGAAACTTTCTCCATAAACCACAAAATTTGTTAAACTTAAACCATCAACGAACGAGAAGTCAGCAAGTTTACTGGAAAAAGTATGTACAAGCTGTAAATCACTTTATAAAGTTTTAAAAGCTGGCTATAAAAGCGAATAAAGAGAAGGACAGCGACTTTAGACACAACAAGAATTTATAGAGCCTTTTAACTTGAATAGCTGCAACTTACACAAGAAAAAACAATACGACGCAGAATGGCACAAAAATTTGATAAAAGGCTTTCGTGTAAACTCAGAAACTGATGACTTTGGAGCAACTATATATATGAGAGAAAGAAACGGGAATGAGATCGAAACAAGCAGAATAAGAAGCACCTAAACAAGTAAATGTTACAGCACTCAGATATTAAATAAACAAGAAAGTTTTAAATCCAAATTATTGCATTACATCTTTGTTAAAATTCTTTCTTTATAAAATAGTAATAATTTTTTATTCTCTAGATGCGAACAAATTTAAATTTTATTTTGACAAAACACTTTAAAAGTAACACTTCGGTAAAAATTTTAAACTAACTTTGAGAATAATATGTCTGTTTCGGAAACCTGGAAGTCCCTCATAGAAAATTGCTGCCAACAGCTGTTGACAGTTTGGATGAGCCACAAACTGAAAATTTTAGGCTGAATAATCTAAAAACTTATCAAGTGTAACAAGAAGTCAATGCTTACAAAAATTACTGAAATTTGTTTATAACACTTTTACCTTCTTTTGGCGTAACTGAATTGCCAACTTTAGTCTGGCCAATTGATGACAAAGCCTCAAACTCTTTCTTTCAGTAACTTCTTCCCAAGCATTAGTTGTATGATTCAATACTATTTCTAACTCTTTTGAACCACGTACCTGGTCTAACATATTTACAGAAAACTTCTGGCATCTCTGGCTTAGCTCCTAAAATCAACTTAAATTCAACAACAAAAACAGGCGGAACAAGCAAAGATATTTGTACTGCAGCGATTCAAGACAAACTTTTTGTCTACTTTTTTTCAAGCGCTTCCGATTGTTGTGCCAGGCTGTATGACCGTAAAAAAATTGAGTTATAAGGATGAAATTCATGACTCAATTTAGGTGGTCGCTAAACATGCGGTATTTCTATTCTGTTTTTAATTTTGATCACTACACAAAAAAATTGGTAATCAAATTCTCAACCAAATAAATTCTTAGAAATCTTTGTTTAAATTTTTGTTTAGCCAACTTATTATACGTTTAGCAGCTCCTATAATCGCTAAAAGAAGTGGCTTTAGCAGAATTATTACAGTTGGTAAAAACAGCTACAGCAAGGTATATTACTGATTTTACAACTGCCGTACACTACGATAATTCATATACTGCCGGACTTTTAGAACTGAAAAGGTGCTACCAGCCCGGAATTTCGAAAGTTCCAAATTAATATTTCTTTCCACAATCAATAAAAAAAAATAAATAAAAACTTGCCCTAATTTCATGTTAGAAACTTTGAATAGATTTTCTAGGGAATGACTTATATTATTAACTGTAAAAGCCATAAGAGCAATTCAAATATTTTTTAGGCGCAAGCCGAGACATGAGGCTTTCCTCCAACGTTTTCTAACATCGCACCATTCTTAATTCCTGCTAATTTATTTTCTTTTCTACGTTGGTTGGTTACTAGTAAGGCTGTCTTTCGCTTATCCAGCTCCACCTCCCATGGAGAGAGCAGTCCTGTTTTAATCCCCCATCTATTTGAAAAAAATCAGCGATTTCCTTGGCAGCTCCTAGCTTGCTTCAAAAAAAAAGAACCAAAAAGCTAACAAACCCATTTCAAAACGAGCCTCACCCCGCCATGTGTTAATGCTAGTTTTTATGACTTCATTTTACTTGCAAGCTGACCCCAAAAACTCTTTCTGTTCAAGAAGATGAAAGCAGTGTAAAAGTACACAGAAAGCTACTGCATAAGTTAGTCGTAAAAAACAGATTATACTCCACTTTATACTGAAGCGAGTACTTCTGAAAATTTTGAAAACTCAAGACCACTGAGGCATTTAGAAAAGTTTTTTTTGCAGAAATTCAAGTATCTAAAAGAATGACAATAATAGGGTTTTTGTAGTGGTGTGAGGAACATTTCATGCAAAATCGCACAACCTTTATTGCTTTATGATATTCTCATTGACGAGTGATCGAAACTGAAGACGGGAGTTTGAAAAGTAATTTTACAGACAAGTTATACTTCATTCAAGTAAGAAAATTTTTTGTACCTTTAGGCACTCCAAGCTTTTTCACAGTTTCTAACATTTCTGTTACTAAAGAAAACCAGAATTATAAAGTCACTCTGATAACATATGTTTTTCCGACTCCAAAACTGTATTTATTTGCTTATATGATTTTGAAAGAAACAATTTCTCTAAAAAAGAATTTTTTAAATGTTACTCAAAAAGAGCTGAATTAACTTCTACAAAAAATTGAACCTCTGTACAGGATTCTTCTACAAAACTTGAAAGTCTCATCGCGGTTGAATCTCAAAATTATAGCTTTTAGAATGAAGTTGTATTGAGAAAGCAGACAACTCTAGTGCCCTATTTCAGTGCCGTACTGGTGTGTGATCTCATCACTGCAGCTAAAGAGTTCTTTTTTAAGCATATTTGTTGCGGGGTAAGGCTTTTAAAGCAACATGCAACATCACATGCATATGTATTGCAACGCAGTTCTTTACAATAAAACAGCAGAAACGAAGAGAAGTTGCCAATTACAAACAGTGAATGACAACCAAATTAGCTTTACAACAAGCGATTTCACAAATATCTAAAAATTTTTTGTAATAAAGCCGCATTGCATCATCTTATGCACTTCTGTTTTGTCTAATTCCGCCTCACTACAAAAAGGGTTGGTTTTAAGGTTTTTTAATAATGCAAGAATTTGTGGCAACTATACAAGCGAAAGGCTGAAGCAGTACGAAAGAAAAAATTAGTTTTTTGATACAGTCACAGGATTTATCTGGCAAGAAGGTGATGTGGTGATGTAAAAGACTGAAAAAGCGCTGAAATACTGTTTTTTTTGGAAGAAAATTTACTACAATAGTTGAGGGTTCAAAAATTAGAAGCTTCTGACAGCAAAAATCTTCCGTCTAAATGAGTTACAATTTTTACCACTTATGATTCACACTTCTGTTAAAACTTTTGCTGCAGAAAGCTCTAATTATTTTGGAATGTTATACATTAAGATATTTTTGAAATCGAGTAACACGAGTTTCAATGACTTTAAAAATTCTTATTTCATTCTTATAAGATAAGGTTACAAATTCCGAAAAAACTCCAGTAACGCAAAAAACCAGAAAATTTTTGCATTTTGAGAGTTATAAGTTTGCACTATTTTTGGGTTCGCTTTTTGCTTTTTAAAGTTCAAAGGTGAGCAATTTTAGTTCCTCACCATTGTTTCTAATCCATCTCTATTTTACTTTTTTTTTCTTCTTTTTGGCTTATAAATTAATCTGAGTTTTTTTCTTTTTTATTATAGTCATAAAATTACAGCTTTTCAGAAAACGGAAAAGACAAATAAGCAAATTCTCATTCGTTTTTGAAACTCAGGTCCTCCTGAAAAACTTGAGCGACTAATCAGTTTGCCCATTTTCACTTTATATATTCACTACTTATTAGTTTGCGGCTGTTTCTTGCGTAGTCGCAAGTACCACTGTTCACTTTTCAGCTTAAAGATAACTTGACTAATGAGTGTGACGACACAGTGAGACGCTATCTAGGTAGGAAATAACGATTCGTAAGATATGCAATTTTACTTGGTATTCGCTTTTGAATTCATTTTCTATGTAGGATAACCGACGAAGTTCGTAGCTAAGTTCGAAAGCATATAAAATCGGATCTTTTGTTGACAAACAAATCCACGACGGACTAGCAAGTGCTCTATATGCATTTATTCGAGACCTTGACAGTCGTAAGGAATCTTCGCTTTTAGCCTAAAAACGTGAAAGGTAACCTGCAAATTTCTTTTAACAATCAAAACGAAATTATCAGTAGAGTTTAGCAACTAAAACAGAAAAAGCAGATTTTCTCTCACAATTCTACTTAACCACGCGTACCTTCAAAAACGAATGAATTTAAACAGCATTGAATGTCTTAGAAAGTAAGACTTTTCAGTTGACACTTTAAAGCATTATACCATTCAAAAATTCTCGTCTTTTAGAAGTCAAAAAAATTTGAGGATTTAACCTACATGGACACATTCCTTGCATGAACATCGCACATCGTGAGGGTGAGGTATTGTTGCTTTTTTATCCAAAAACAGTTTTATGCACTCATAATTGTCTTTATGAGCTGCCAAAATAATCGGTGTAATATCTGGCGTGAAAGCGGAGTGTTCATTAATTTCAACTCCCTGCGTCTGCAATCGTCTGTGTTTTTCAGTCTCCGATGATGTAACTACTAATTTCCACATCCAAATAATATGCGTTTATAACACCAACTGTCTAAATGACAACTTTGCAAAATAGAAAAATGGTTTTCTCTTAATAATTTTCTGAGTAGAAATTTTTTTAGTCCGCTTTATTTAAATCTACAGCTTTTATCGCTTTCCTTTTGCTAATTTTCAAACGAAATATCTTGTAGTTTCAAAAGTTTTTGCTTCATCAAAATGAAAGAAAGGTCTACTGCCCGTACAGAAACCGCCTGAAATAAAAGAAATTAAACAGTTTTACTTCAAAACCTTTTGGTCACGCATTTATTTGGACACAGAAATATGCTTTCTAAGCCTCTGTACTCGCAAAACAAACTAAGGATTACAAAGATGCTTAAAAACACCATATTTCCTATTTTAATTTACAAAAATCCAGGACGGCCTGCGACCGGTTTTAATTCTGTAATTTTTTTTACCATACAAATTTACAACTTCACTAACCTCAGGATTAAATTTTTCAATTTTTTCCAAGTGCTCTAATATAATTTCAACAGCCTCAACATTTTCTTCGCCAATCGCGTATAGTATTGCGTCACCAGTTTCAATATTTTGATCCAGTAACAGCTCGATCATTTCAATATTCTCATTTTCAATTGCAATGTGGAGAGCAGATCTAATATATTATATATTATATATTATATATTATATATTATA